CTATTTGCTATCTGTTCGTATAGGAAAGTGATGCTTTCTCTGAGATGACCGGGATAATCTGATTTTTAGGTCGTTCTGCGTCCATTTCATCAATATCAGCATGATACTTTAGGATAGGACAAAATTCTTTTGTTTTTTCAAGGGAAAAATTATAAATTAGCTTTTCTTCACGAGGCAAGTGGAACGACATCATACTTCCATTAATGGGCAGCATCGGTATGAGTGCTTCTTTAATTGCAATTTCTTGCAGAGGATCATTTTTAAAACCCCAAGGGAAACCTAACCTACTGGCCACGAGAGTTTCTTTAGCTGGCGAATTCAAATGAACTGTGGAAAATTGGCAGCACTCAGCCTCCGTCAAAGAGCTCTTTGAAGGAAGCAAGGTGTTCCTTGTAGACTCAAATAACCAGGGCTGGTGTGAAGGATAACTTGTCTGACCTGTGGAATTATTTATTAGTTGAGTGTGAGGCGTAATTAACGGGGAGGATTTCTTGACTTCTTGTGCACAATACGAGTCCTCTTGATGTGATTGATTTAATAATATTTCGTTCTCTTTGATCGCGCAACATTTATGAATAGGAACAGCATATTTCTTGGTTAATACATCATTTGCTACGGTTCCCTCAGTTACTGTTGGCGAGGATCTACTCACTTCCAGAGCGCCAACATTCATAAACGCGCAAATCTTGCTTGCATTAAAAGGCAAAAGACGGGATGCAGCATACATGAATGTGCAGGTGCAGATAAATGTGCCCACGACAATTGCCCCCATCCAGATCGCATAGGTTTCGAAGAGAGATAAACGAGAATAGGTGAGCCTTGAGTCCATTTTAACTATTTGCAAACGGTTTTTGGAGCTGTACGCTTCTCCATAAATCATGTCACCGAGTTCATTCGGTGTTTGCACATTTCCTCTTGTAGTGGCTTCAATCGGTAAATTAAAACGAAACTCACCATTTATCTCCTCACCACTCTGAGCACTAGCTCGACAGTGAAAACTTGTATTGCTACCGTGGTTACAAGCAGACACGCCGAATGTAAGAGTGAAATTAATCGCCTCTCCATGACCAATTTGAACATCTAAATCTGCTTCTGCTTCCTCGGGACGCAGAGGCATACCATTTCGATGCCAAGTTACTTGAGGTTTGGTCTGCCCGGTTATTCTGCAGATTAGCCGAAGTTGCTTGCCCAGACGACATGGAATTGAGACTGCGAATCCATTATGTTGTACCACTGTTGGCTCATCGGTGTACTGATATGCTAGGCCAAGAAGCCGAATTGGACATTGGAAATGAGTGATGTTGAGTTGCAACACACTCATTCCGGCAAGATGCTTTGGGCTCTCACAAATTCCAGCTGCTCCGCGTTCATATTCTAATGATGACTCATTGTAACCGGGGCGCTGGATCAACCAGTCCGGTAACCAATCTAATTGACAGTCACAGGCCTTCCAGCGGACACCATTCAGACGAAGCTCCGTCATCTGACTGATGGGTAGGCCAGCAAACGCTTCTTTGGACAATGGTGTGGATAGACGAACATGGCCTAGATTTAGTTGCCGCAGTGCTCCAAGACCTTGGAAAGCCTTCGGCTCGAGATGCATGCCAGCATGTCCATACGATTCATCAAGATGCAATTCAACGAGTGGACCTTCAAAATTATCGAACCAACCAGTCGGTAGCAAATCGATTGGGTTCTCAGCCAGGTCGAGTCGTACCAACCGTCTCAATGGTCGTAGAGTGCTGGATGGCAGACTTTTGGGATCTGCAGGCCGAAGTTGGTTGCGTCTTAATGACAAATACATCAGACTATCTGCGAGTGGAACAAGAGCACGCTCGGTGATCTTAACTAGCCGGTTTCCTGTCAAGGTCAAGCGTTCCAGGCTGCCAAGATACAGGAAGCTGTCTTCATGAAGTACGGCTAATCTGTTGTTGCTAAGGTCGAGGACGCGTGTGTCACGGTGGATGATGGTTGGTATGGCCGTCAGCCGGCGGTACTGGCACGTAAAAGTTGAGGCATCTAGTTGTGGAGGGCAGCTGGTCGACAGAAGATTAGCATCAGACCGGACGGAGGAGGTGAATAGCAGAAGCAATGGCGGAAAAAGCAGCATATGCCGTCCGAGCATGTTGGTCGACCGGATGAAGTTGGCTTCCCTGTAATTCCATGTCTCAACCGAACGTAAAACGCTTCGCATCATATAAAAAGTGAATTGTGTAACAAAACATACCCTGACCTAAGGTAATTGCTCCAAAATACTCGAAAGAAAAAAAGGACGAGTCAGATAAGGCACAAATGTACAAATTTCAGAATAAAAAAGTGAAATATAGATATTA